TGAGACAGGTCATTAAGCAAATGCTTATTATTAGGCAGAGTGTTCATTCTAAAGATTATTGAGTCACAGTCTTGGTTCCAGTGGTTTTCTTGTAACATGTTAAGTATTTTGTGGTAGCTGAATTACAGGACTGCCTTCCAGACATGGTAGGACTGATAGCTAGATTCTGTGGTGCTTTAAGTCAGCACAGGTGGGCATGAAAGACACTGTCTGTCTACAGAATGGTTTTCTTCATATCAGTGTAAACGAATACTCATCAATGACATCACTCAGAATTACTTTCCTTCAGTGTATATGTTAATGTGTTCGCTTATTACGTGACTACGGTATTTCATTTATATTTATTTGTCTTTTCAGGAAGCTGCTCTTTGCAGACAACTTCCTATGGAATCAGAAAGCATGGTCCCAGTTCAGACAGCTGTGAACACCCCTGCCATGACACAGGACATGAGGCCTATTACAAATAATGGATCTGATCCTTTCTTGAACAGGCAAGTTCATTCTTCATTAGGCAATTGCTTCTGGTGCCTTCTCAAGGCTATTATAGGTGTCTCTCTAAAATAGTTCCTATATCATCTTCTTTTTTATTTACTGTAAACAGGGGTTATGGCTGAGTGGTGGGCCTGAAATCTTTCAGTTTATGCTTCAAGAAGGAATCTTAAAAAAAAGCAATAAATTGTAATAGGTGGTTTTAATTCTATTGTTAGTGTATATGGAAGACTAGGTAGAATAAGTATGTTACTTAAGTGTAAGTACACACAACCTTTTAGGCTGTCAGAACTGATTTCAATTAGAGAGTTATTTATGCGTGTGTGTATTTCAAAATTTAAGAGTGACCTCGCTTAAATTACTTTGTTGTTTGGGGTGATGTGACCCAAATATTATGTTGGCTGATCAGTGGCCCACAGTTACAGGATGAGGCTTAATGACTCAGTATCCATTTCTGATATGTAATCTCCTGTGTTCTCTTCTAACACTGTGCTCAGGAACTGTGTCTATCAGAGCATCTTTACTGAGTGTTTTTCATGTTTCAATTTGTAGTGGGCCGTACCACTCCAGGGAGCAGAGTACAGACAGTGGCTTGGGATTGGGATGCTACAGTATACCAACAACACCTGAAGATTTCCTCAGCAACGTAGATGAGATGGATACAGGTAGAATACTCAGACTTAGCTTAAAGTATAATCCATGTATTATGACTAGTAATGTTTTATAATTGCATAGCTGAATGATAATCTCCAGCTTTCCTAATCAAGAGAACAGACCAACACTGTGGGGGAAAATGCCTAGAAGGTGCTTAGTGCCCCGAGGGTTCTCAGCTTTAACTTAGATCCAGATTCTGCCCTTTTACCTCAGTCTGATATTAAACAGAATAAATAAAACCTGGAAAATGCAAGCCTTAATTTCTGTTTTCGTACTATTGTCCATGGTAGGGGGACAAAAAAGCTTGTTATGGGTTGCATGTACAAATCAATACATTTTCTGACTGGGAAATAAGTCTTGCTTGTAAGTCTCTTACAATGGCAAAGTTGCATTTGCCTTCAAATAGAATGTATTTAGCTAGCTTACATTTTGATACATATTTATTTTATGTTACTGTCCTCATGGTGTTTAAAATATTGAAATAATTTACTAGGAAATCAAAGTTTTTTTTTCAGAGAGTGAAATTCTCAGCACTTCCTCACCTAAAGTTCCTTTTGAAGTCATTAGAAATTCAGTATTATGCAGAGATTGAAAGATTTATCTATTAAAGGTTTTCATGCTTGTTCTTATTAATTTATGGGGGGAAAAAAAAAAAAGAGTAATATTACAGACCTAAATTGCTGTAAAGCACTTTTTTCAGTTCTTCCTCCAGACAGCATTGCCCCTGGTGCAGGGATCAGGATGGAAGTGTACATGAGGGTCCTTTGCTGCTTCTTGGGCAGACCAGGAAACAAACTTGAAACTGTCATGCTTCCCACGTGGAAGACCAGAGCTGGATGCTTTGAGCGCTGCTGGAAAGGACCTTTGGACCTTTTGTGCTTTTGAGATCAAAGCAAGAATGTGAAATGTATTCTTAGGAGAATATGTACTCTATACCTAAATGCAGTTTTGACATGTGTGTGTTGAGTAGGAGTGCTCCCAAGTACTCGTGGGAAAGGGGGAATCAATTTTTATGTCAATTTTGTTGTTTTAAATTACTCATAGTAAGACTTTGTACTTCAAAAGTTCTTCTTTATTTTTCCTAGGAGAAACTATAGCACAGACAACAATGAACATAAATCCACAACAAACACGTTTCCCTGATTTCCTCGACTGTCTTCCAGGGACAAACGTTGATCTTGGGACTCTAGAGTCAGAAGACTTGATCCCTATTCTCAACGATGTGGAGTCAGTGCTTAACAAAAACGAGCCCTTCCTTACCTGGCTGTAATCAAGCAATGCTTGTTGGGCCTACAGTGCAATTCAGATTTCTTTTTCCTTTTGAGGTAGGCATAGAATATCTGAATATCCTCAAGAGATACAACATGCTGCCTTATTGACTTTTGTTACATCATCTTTATGGTCAGTTTAATATCTGTCTGAATTTGATTGATACTAATTTAAGTATGAAATACATATATATATATTTATATATAAAATACATACATGGATATATATTTCTTTAAAAAACCCATACCACTTTACACATCTGTGTACTTTTTTACCTTCTCAAACCAGGCAGAAATGCTTCACTTTTAGGACAGAAATTGGCTAATGTTTGTGCATATCCCTGACTGATCTCCTGGGTACTGATTGACATCACAGACCCTTTGTGAATCAGAAAAGCCAACTCCTAGGTCACTTGGTTCAAAAATAGTGCAAATCATCAGGACATGAGAGCAGTTTTATTATTATGTTTATGACAATACTATCTGAAGCTTTTTTAAAATCAACTTACTTAAGCCTTAAAAAGCTTTTTTAGTTCTTAGTGACTAACTGTTCTGTGTAGAATGCAGCTCAAATATGATCCATATCAAACATAATAATTTGTGAAGGCACAAACAATACTATAGCAGTTTCTTTTTTTCAATTACTGTATAGTTTTCAGAAAATAATTACTTCTAGTCTCAAAGTACCAGAATTGTTTAGCAATTTTTACATTTTTACACTACAATAATGTTACAAAATAAACCAGGCTGGCACTGACTGTTGCCTTTTAAAAACAAAGAAATGTATTATAAACAAGCATTTTCTAAAAATTCTTAGATTTTTTAGTTTATTATATTAAGCACTACAGTTTTGTAACTTAACACATGAACAAGCAATTTTTTATATATATAAAATCTGTGGCAAGTATCTTAAGTGCAAAAATATTCTTTTAAAATCAGTTCTGGAAAATGTGGCACAACTTGTTAATGTCATACATAGGGGGAGAAAAACCTTCCTCATACTATTTTCAGTGATGTTTTTAACTGACAGTGTGAAAATACATGTAGTTCTATACATGAAAAAGAACCAGGAACTTCATCAGGGCACTGCTAAAGCAGCATTGGGACTCACCTGGTAAAGCTGCTTAGTTTTCATGTCTTTCACTTACCATAACTGGTGCACAGGACATGAGGCATGTGCTGTGTGTTCTTGCCTGTTATATATCCTACAAAACTTCCTTCTCAGAGGTTTGGGACTGAGAGACATCAAGAACATTAAACCTGCAGTTCCCCTGAAATGCAAATGAAGTCCTGAATATTCTTAAATGTTTTGAAATTATCTTATTTATAATTAATGGATATAAGCATTTTGTATTGAAGAATAGGTAATTTTATGAAAGGCATTATAATTTCTCTCTAAGCTTAATCCAGGCTATGTAAAGAGAAGAGATGTAGCACTAAGTTTAAATGTGTGTTTGCCAGGTCAGATAACACTTAGCAAGATCTTACTGATGCATCAGAATATTGACCCTTAAAGACTTTTTTCCATCTGGTTGGGTGAAGGTAGGTGAACAGGTCAGCGATGAAGTGGTGGGAATACAGAGTAGATTTGGAAGATGAATGATGAGGTAATAAATGTAGATCCTTGCTGGGAAGAATGGCTACAGACAGGGGTACGTAGCAAATGAATCTTCGGTGTTCAGTGAAAAACTTAAGAGAAGCACTCAATAAAGTAAATGACCATGTCTGTGATGAACTTCTAAGTGTACATGATGTTACAGGATGGAAAATAAAAAGCACACACACTGAAATTTTGAAAAAAGAGATATTAGGCAAAGACCTACAGTTGTGACATTTTATGACATAGTAAAAAGTAGCTTTTAAAAAAATGTTTTTGGGGGTTTTTTAATAGAAAAAGAGATGTAACAGCAGAGTAGTTGTGTCTGCACAGAATTTAATTGCTGAATGGGCATTGTGTTTCTTTTATAATTTCGTGGGGTTATTAGTTGGGGTTTTTTTTTTATTCTGGCTAGTTTTGCTAACTGTTGAGATAGCATAAACTTCTTTTCAATAAACAGGGGACCGGGCAGGGCTGACCAATATTACTGTAATTAGTTTTGAACTCTCTCTTTTAAGGATTTCTTCAGGTTGTCAGCCTAAATGAAAAATAGATGGTCCTAAGGCTTTGTTGTTTAGTACCATGACTGATGTTGGTAAAGAATTGGAGATCTTGTGGTAAACTTTCAAGGCCATGTCACCAGCACTGCTGATTTGGCATAAGGAGCCGACAGGCACTGTGCTGGGATGACCCACAGCAGCTGTGGACCTGAGTGCTGGTGTGGCCCAGGTGGCAGTGCCTATCAACAGGTTATGCCTAGGGAATGCAGTTTGTTCATTTGCTAGCCGGTCTGCACCATTGAACATGCAAGTTTGTCATAACAAAGGATATTCTGAGCAGGTTGGCTAGCAGCTCTGTGAGATAGCTGGTGCTGATTCCTGCCCAGCCATGTGCATTGTTGTCAGCCAAAGGCTGTTCTTTGTATGGCAAAAACTAATACAACTTTCTAGTGAAATCGCATCAGGTATTTATCAGAATTGTGAAGCTGAAGGCTGATTCCTTTTTTATTTGTATTTCTGGTGCTTGAGTGTCTTGGTGCAAAGACCTTAAAAGGATAAAGCAATCATAAACTGTGTTTCTGTGTTACTTGCCTAATAAACCAGATCTGAAACAGGAAGGTACTGTGTGGGGCAGCACTCCAGGCTGAAACAACTGCCAGAATCTTAGGTTAGATCTTTACTCAGTCATGAAACAAATCTTGGTTAAATTAAAAGTGATTCTTTACACTGTCAGCTTTTAATTTTTGTTACGGAGATAATGTATCTGATGAAGTGCAATGACAATAAAATCTATTTTTCAAAGTTACCTTTTAAAAGAGTTTCTGGCTTTAAACAGGCTCATGGCAGAATTTTTCAGTATTCAAAGCGTATGTAATATGAAAATAAATTTATTGTTGACAATATTTTACTGTACTATTTCAGGTTTTGAGCATTTACTGTACTAAATTGTACACTGTCTACTTGTAGTATAAATACAACCAATGTGCCAGCTGGACAATTTTGCTGTGACCATTCCTGAGGGGGAATGTGTAAGTCTTGATGATACAGAAGTAATGTGACATGGTTAATTACAGTTTGTATTCTGGTAATCCTGTTAGAATGTAACTTGGGGAGGGATTGGGTTTGACTTTTTGTCAACAAATGCTGTTTGGGGGAAAGGAAGGATTTAAATCTCTATTTTAATTACAGGAAAATGTGGGTGGTTGTCCAAATAAAATTGTTTCCTAATACATACAACCATGTACATGCTAGTTCTTTAACTATTTTATTTACTTTTTTCATTTTTATATGACTTGTGTGAGCATTTATTTTTAATTTTTAGTACCTTGCAATACATTGTACTAGAGGCAATCAGATCAAACTGTTGTATCCTGGGTTTGATTCTGTTTTGTTGTTTTTTTTAAAATTTAATTATTTCTTTGATCTTTTACATGAAAAAATACAAATGAACTTAAAAGATTTTGGATGCATATTGGTTATTTAAAATAATTTCTTTACGGGAGGGGGGGCTTTGAGGGTTTTAGTATGGGCTTCCCAGGGAACGGTAAAACACTGCTTAGAATAAAGGTGCAGACATACTATTCTGTAGAAAAGGCATGCATTTTGAATTAAAATATTCAATTTTATATTGTATAGTCAATTATTCATATATGTATATACATATTCAATATGTATATTCAATTCAATATACATTTGAATTAAAATATGGGGGCAAAGACCCCACCCATGTCAGGATAATGGAAGAAGCCAGCCTTCCCACCCTCTGACAGCTGGAATGTCTCCGTGGTTTGGCATTGTTTGCCTTGCCACTGGTTATACTGTGAGTGATGTACAGTTGATGAAGAGGGAGCTGAAGCTGAACTGGAGACAGGTGGTGGACATTCAAGACTGGAATGCTGTGAGGAAACATCCCTTGTTCTGGGCTGAGCAAATAATTTTTCAACATTGTATATGTTACTTCCCTCCTTTAGAGCTGAACCTTTTGCAAAGAGTCTCCAGTTAATGCATCATTCCCCGAAAGGTGACACTGTCCTGTGGTGAATGTATCATTTGTCTGCAGTCTATTTATTGAAGACAACCAAAAAAGAGAACTAACTGTATGTAGTTCAGTTGTGCAGGGGCTTAATCAGTTTTGTCCCACTGAAGTGCATGGGCTCAAAATCACATGCTCATACTCCACATGTTGTAATCTGAGTTGTTAGATAACCAATGTGTATCCTTTTATGATAGCTCTCAGCTAAAACAGTGCCATTCAGTGTTGAATTTGCCATGCTCTCAGCACCCTGCTCACCCAGCAGGCACTCCTAATGGGTGAATAATGAAGCTTCAGCCAGCATGGGTATTTCTGAGATTTTACAAAGAATACTAATATTCTTTCTTTTGGCTACTATTTTTACTTCTGTCGTAGTGTATGTTCATATTTCTACACACTGTAACACAATGTGATCTTTAAGTTGGTCAGGGTTCCTGTGGTCTGTTAACACTTTCAGTTATCCTTGCTTGTGGCTTCTTTCTTACCATCATCTTTCTGTCCCTTCCTAGTGCTGCGCTCTATCTGTGCCTTCTTTTCAAGAATTAATGCTGGCTTTTTACATCATTCTCTGTTATGAGGTTCTAGGATTAATCCCTCTCCTTCATTTTTCTGGATGCTCTGCTGAGTAAAAACACAGAACAATCTCCACTTACTGCAGAATTGACACTACAGATGTGAGATTTGCTTGAACGTCACTGCTAGGGGAGAGGCTCAGATGTTAACTGAATAGATTTTTGAAACATCATTGTTGGCACTTCAAAGTGTGAGTTCAGCTGGGCCGTTGGTTCTGGCTCATTTACCCTTTTTCAGTACACCTGAAGGCCAAGGTGTGAATGCAGTCTGGATCACAAGATTAAATGTGTGGGCCTTGTGTCAATATCAGTTATATATTAGCTCATATTAGAAAGCCATCATGTAGCTGGGTGTCTCTTAGAAGCAGGAGCTCATTGATTATGGTTTTAGGTATCATAGCTTGCTGCCTGTTATTTCTTATCCCATCTCCCACAAAGATTTATGTACTCTATTTATTGATAGATATATCAAAGCTGTGTGCTATGCAGCTACCCATCCCTTTGTTGAATGCTGATGAGAAACATTCCTTGTTCCCAAAGGCATCATAAAAATCAAACAGGACAAATGTGAGATGAGGTGCAGGACAGCTGTCACCACAGATGAAATAATAGATGTGAGATGGTTGCACAGTGTGTGTTGAATTAAAGGGTGCTCTCAAGTTCCTGGGCAATGCAGTAGAACAGGTGGAACAGACAGCTGTTTCTGAAAAGGGTTTTTTTTTGTAATTTATCATCTTGTACAACATAATTCTCAGTACCTATATTGAACTGTTTAACATTTCTGCATAGTGCTTTCAAGTAATTCTGGATTCTTCAGATATCTCCTAGTGTAAATACACAGTACATGGCATACATTTTCTGGAAGCACAGGCCACAGAATCATTTTTTCAGCAGTAAAATTTTAGGAAACAGATATGGCCAATATTGAGAAGCGTTGAGACATCCAGCCTGGCAAGCTGGTATGTGAAAATTTGTTTCAGAATTTTTTTGAAGAAGCAAATTAGTTTATGTGAATCCCTCAAATGTCTCCAAACCCTTCTGTTTTCTCCTTGATTCCTTCGGGAAGAAGCTTTTTCTTTTAAAGTTTTAAAAGGTCTTTCCAAAAGGTACTTTTGCCTTTGAGCTAACTCTCTATTGTCTTTCCTCTCTCTTTCATAGTACTGTGCCAAATACAGCTAAATTGAACTTATACAAAGAGATTAATAAACAGCATTTGTGCTCATGTATAGATTGCAAGCTTTGAGGATTTACAAGCTACTTAACTGACCTGAATAAAATTGGAACCCAAATTTGTGTCTTGCCTGAGAATACCCTCTTTTTAAATGGAAGCTGTTTTACAAAAATAAATATAAATGTGAGAGTTGTATTTCACTTATTTTATTCCATGATGAGGGATTTCACGAGGGCTGGAAAGGGAGTCGGGGCTTCATAACACTGGTGATAGGAGGAGCCCTTCATTCTCATCTTCTTAGCCAGAGCCAGTGCATCTGAGGGCTGCTTTGTGGAGCAGCTGCAGAAGGGATTCTCCCTGGAGAGAGGTTGTCTGCAACATTCCTATTCATTAGACAGTTCCATCTCCCTGGAAGAATAAAAACATGGAGGTAATTTCCTGGCTGCTATTGCTATGACTTTCAAAGGCTTGTATTATTTCCTAATGGCAACAGTGTATGGTTTTGGCAGTATGTTAGAAAACATGACCATGGAGCTGGGGGAAGGCCAGTTTATTTTTCCTGGTTGTCAGCTAGAGGTGTGTATGTAACTCATCAGCACACAAAATAACAAAGGAGAGGCATCAGTTGCTCACCCCACAACATCCACAGCATTTGCAGTCCCCACAGATGGTCCCGAAGAGGCCGTTCACCACCTGGATGCCACAGAGCACTGCCTGGATCCCGCTCATGACCAGCAGCAAGGAGAAGAGGGTCAGGTGCCATGGGACAATATTATCAGGTGATGTACACTTCACCCACAAGGTGTGGTCAGCAAGGTAATCCCTACGTGAGAACACAACAGTTAGGAAGACCATGTTAGCTCACCAAGGAGTTTCTCACCACTCAGAGGTTGTCACTGCTGCGACATGGCCGAGCTCCTGTTCACTTCGGTGCATTTCCACTGTCACACCAGTGCTACTTATCTAGAAATTGACTTCAGTTTAGCTTCTAGATAAGTTGAAGCAAGTGATTTGGGAAAAACAAGACATCAGAAGGGAGCAATTAGAGACAAGTATGTGTTTGATACAATTGAACCATTTTTGTGTTTTGGGAAGAAAAGATCTTAGCCAAGCATGTGCCAAATGGGTTTTATCTGTTCCAGTGTTTTGTCAGGGGCATTTTTCCTGCTTTCACTTGATTACAGCATTTTTTGTGTGCGGGGATGGGTGGGGGACTGTGATCAGGACATATAATCCAGTATCTCAAAGTACAGTTGAGAACAAGGGAGTACATTGTAATCAAAACAACTGAATTATCAAAACAAATAATGAAATTATGCATGTCACCTCTTGCCCACTGAGCTGAAAATAACAGCTCTTCTATTTTAGATGCCTCATCTAAAGTAAAGGTAATAACCTCCATAATTGTTACCTTCACATTTTGATTTAATTGTAAACTGCTTAAGCACTGGCTATATTTCATATGCATATTCTTAGTGCTGACTTGTGTTCTTGTCAAGTGATTTCTGGACTGCAATCAAAACTGTGTTTGAAACAGAGCATATTTCCAAAAACTCAGAATGAGACCAAGGGAGTTGGTTTCTGGCCCTCACTGGCCCATGAGCAAATAATCCTCTACCTGTACACTTCTTGTTTTCTTTCTTTTCTTTTTTTTTTTTTTTTTTTTTTTTACCCTGAAGTAAAATGTTTTTGTATATTATGTAAGAAATGCTGCCAGGTCACTCTTGACTGAGTCAGACTGTATTAGAGGTTCTGAGGTAATGAAGAGTGTACTGCAGCCCTTGCCATTCTGTTCTGATCACATCTGCTCTCCTCAGTAGCACATTGTGCTGTTTGTTGAACTTGTCTTGACTTTAGTCTGAGCAGTGGGATAGGTGGGGTTAAGTGATAAATATACATGACAGTGAACATGTCTGAGTAGCAGAGCATGAGGAAAAAGCAGCTTGCAAATGCCATAGCCAAAATAAAATTATACATAGATTATTAATATTATATATATTATTATTAGTAGTTATTTGAATACCATTAAATTTCCATATAGTCATAGAATCACAGAATGGTTTGGGTTGGAAGGGGCCTGAAAGATCATCTCGTTCCAATCCCCCTGCCATGGTCAGGTCATTCCACCGTCCTAGATTGTTCCACACCCTCTCCGACCTGGCCTTGAACACTTCCAGGGATGGGCCATCCACAACTTCTCTGGGCAGCCTGTGCCAGTGCCTCACCCCTCCCACAGGGAAGAATTTTTTTTCCTAGTAATTGATCTAAACCTACTCTTAGTTTAAAGCCATTATCTTGTCCTGTCATTACATGCTCTTATAAAAAGTCCCTCTCCATCTTTCTTGTAGGCTTCCATCAGGTACTGGAAAGCCACAATCTGGTCACCCTGAAGCTTCTTTTCCCCAGAATGAAGAATCCCATTTCTCACAGCCTTTCTTTACAGAAGAGGTGTTCCATCCCTCTGATCATCTTGGTAGCCTCCTCCATCTGTGTCATTAATGAAAATATGAAATAACACCAGTCCCAGCAGGGATCCCTTAGGAGCACCTCTTGTCACTGGTGTTCAAGGATCCTGAGCCAGTGACCACCACCCTCTGGATGCAACCATCCAAACACTTTCTTCTCCATCTAACAGTTCACCCATCAAATCCATCTCTCTGTAATTTAGAGAGCAGGATGTTGTGGGGGATTGTGTCCAGATAAATGACTTCTGTAGTCCTTCCATTATCCACTGATGGAGTCACCCCATCATAGAAGGCCCCTGGATTGATCAGGCAGGGCTTTCCCTTGGTGAACACATTCTAGTTGACACAAATCACTTCCCTGTCCTCTATGTACATCATCAGACCTTCTAGGAGGAACTGCTCCATGGTCTTCCCAGGCACAGAGGTGAGACAGGTCGATGGCTCCCAGGGTCCTCCTTTCAACCCTTTTTAAGGGTGGGTGTATTGTTTCCACTTTTCCGGACACCTGGGGCTCCACCTGACTGCCAGGACTTTTCAAATATGGAGAGTGGCGTAGCAATTACATCAGCCAATTCCTTCAAGACTCTGAGAGGTGTCTCAATGTGTCATTTCTGTTCATCGAAGTGGAATTTATCCCTGTATGTTGCTTATCATCCCAAGAATAACCTAGGAAGATGCTGTGCATTTCTCTTTATTTGCCCTTTTGAAACTCGGTAGTTTTTACTTGCTCTTGAACCTTATGAAGTCTTGCTGTGTGCTGCAAGCACTTCTAAGAGCTTGTATAATTTAGACAAGCAGTATCATTCCCATTTTTATACAATGGATTTGGAATTTGAATCATCTCACAAACTTAAAACATGTATATATATATTTTTTTTTCTGATTGCCTTGTCTTACCCAGCCTGGAAAGGGTAGGTCCATTCTTTTCCACTTTGACATTTAGGGCCCTTGTTTAGGGCTACTGCTGACAAAATAAAGCAGTATCCAGCTCCCAGGACTCCAATGGCAGCAAATATTATAGAAGAAAACATCTGATGAAGAAAAAATAATGTTATGTTTGTTCCCTAAATTCAGCTGTTCCCTGAATTCAGCTGTTAATAGTCAAATAATCAACACCTGAACAGCTGAAGTCTATTAGTTTTCATTGCATAGTAAATGGATAACGCTTTCTTGTACTGGTATTTTAAAGCTTTGGCAGCATTGAACCTGTGTTCCTGAGGCAGAGCAGGCAGGGGCTGGCAGCAGATGGCACTGCTCCCCTCTGGGGCCTCCTGCTCCCCTGCGGCCAGACGTTCTTCTCAGGAGACTGCAAGGAAGACTGAAGTCTTGGACCACTTAAGGCATTAAAAAAATCTACAGTATCCTTTACAAGTTAGCTTTGGTATCTTGGTTATATTTGGATCAAATAATTATAGTTTTCCTTCCCAAGTCTCCCTTTAGGTTTCATATTAGTATACTTTATCTCCTCACAGGTAGTTATCAGTGTAAGCTCTAGTAGTACAATTGGAACAGTTGGGAAAGTATGTATTTATTTTTCTGGTTTTCTGTTACAGAATTTTCCATATATACTAATACGTAAGTAAATCGTGCAAGAACTAATGCTCTGAATTCTGAAATACTTGTAGCCACAGCAGTTTGTAGGCTAAGGTTATGTTCTTTATTGGAATAAAGTGATACAGGTGAAGAGAAAAACCCAATACTTTCATGTCATAGAATCATTTGGGTTGGAAATGACCTCTAATATCATCAAGTCCAATGTGATTTTTTTGTTCAGACCTCATCACAAGACTCTTGTCTTGAGCCCTGGCATGCATTTTTATGTTGATATATCTATCAGGGCTAAATTAAAAATTACGCTTTTGTAGTAGACATCATAATAATGGATTTCAGCTAAAATACCAAATTTGGTTCTCAGATATGCTGATGGTGATAAGGCCCATAGGACTCTTGTAGTACAGTGTACTTGGTACTCTTGAGTGTATTAACACTCCCCAGTCAGCTGCACTCTAGCACGCTGCCAGCAGAGAAGGCAGGCTGGTTTGCAGGCAGCACCACACACCTGCAGGCTGCCCCCACTCAGCCATGCTGGCCCTGGCCCCTGTGTGTGACCCTGGTCACCCCCTGGCTGGGCAGCACAAACACCACAGTGCTTGGGTGCTTGTGGAGTGGTGTGTGCTCTGCAAAACTCAGCTAGCTTCTCTTCACTGCTTGCAGAAAATGGATCGTGCAGTGTTGTAAAGATAAACACATGGCTCCGTTTCCCCCTTCTCAAAGTTCAGCCTGTTTTGTTGGTATTGCATGAAGACAGCATCGAAGAGAGAATTTAGGGAAAGCTCTTTGGTCAACCTCATAAGCATGAATCTTTTCCTATTTGTTTTCCTCTCCTTTTTTTTTTTTCCTCAGTGGAAAATGTGTTCCTTTATTTAAAAACTGTAATGATCTACTTGATCCAGAGAATTTATTTCCAAAAGACATATTTTCCTACTAGAAATATTTTTTTTTCTGACTTAATTTTTAAACTAAAAAGCTTGAGATATTTACTAGTGTCTGAAAGTATTCTTTGGAAACTTTTTGATGTGAAAATAAGCTATAAATTCAAAGTGGAGCCTCGCCCACACTGCATTGAAGTAGGAGGTTGGATTAGGTGATCTCTCGAGGTCTATACCTTCCTGAAAATCTTCCTGTGAATCTGAGATACAGCTCATTTTGTGGGCCTGCAGTGAGTTGGGAATGTAGTGTCTAACTGCCAGGGTGATTTTAAAAGCTGCCAACAAAAAATGGCTAAGGAGAGGACTGTTGTACTCTGCAAAACAAAATGTAGATCTTTCAGCAATAAATTTTAATTGTGATAGTAACTATAAGTATCTTGATATCCTTCTGCTATCCTGATAGCAAAAACCAATGAGGCCATACTGTTGTGGTACCTGTGGTAAAACATCAGAGGCATAATACAATTTTTACAGCCTGCTGTTTCTGCTTCCCAGCACTCAAGCAAATGGCAGGTCTCTTTGTCCCACACTCAAGACAGCCTCTATCTAGACTCACAATGACTGTGAGAGGAAAATACATGTATCAGTAACAATTTAGCTTTTACTTTTTTTGCCATGTTTCCTTTCACTTACCGCAAACCTCTTTCCACAGCTCCGATTCCCACAGCATCCACAGCAATCATTATTCTGAAGGCCCAAAAATACCAAGGCAGGGAAGATCATCTACGAATAACAGAAATATAGTTTGAATTGGGATGAATTCAAATTACATCTTCTTTAAAATATAATAATTATATGGGGGGTTATATTCTTATCATTAGTTTAAGTTACTTATTGCCAAACCTTTGGATGGTTTATAACTTATTTGTTTATCAAAGAGCAATTTGCAGTCCTGAGAAAATTTAACAATGCAAGTCATGGCTGCGGGTGGGGGGAAGGTAGAAATGTCTGAATTTAGACACTTACCAATATGCCTGATCCCAAGATCCCTCCAAAGTACCAAACTTCATCTGTAATGTGTGTACTGTCTTCAGCCACTTTTCCTCCAGGGAAAAACAACAAAATGTTAGCAAGGGTGCAAAGCACGGCCAGGGGGATGAGAGTACCTCCCAGGCACTTGGCACAGCCTCCCGTGCACATGCTTCTTTAAATAATTGCAAACACAGTTGAAGATAAAATAAAATCTTTCAGATGTTCTCAGAAGTGATTTATAAAAAGAAGCTTCTCAGTGTACTTTGCAAAATCCAGTTTCTGTTGTGCCGTTAGAGGAGTTGAGCCTGTGGAATGCTCCTGTCAGTGTTCCTGCAGTCAATCGAAAATGCACTGTGCTGGTTTTTTATATGTCCTTGAAACCGTGATGTCAATTTTCTGAACGTCCGTAAATGAAGTTACGCTCAGGGCAGCCTCTCATTTTACTATGACAACCCACAAAATCTGTTAATATTTTACTAAGGTGGCTGACACACTTCATAATCTGGGCTCAGGTCATGGGTTGATTCCTGTCTTAGCTCTGGATCATCATTTTTACAACACATGATCTTTCTTCATACGAGAAAATACTTCTTTTGTATGGACTGACATAAAAATGCATAAAAATCAGCTTATATGAATAACATATTCATTGTCCAAGTTTTTACATGTCGTGACACAGTTCTCTAACTGAAATAGTAGAGAAACTAGCTAATACAACGATGAGCCATTTTAGACCAAGAAAGATACACATCCACAAACCCGAGAAAGTTCTCGGGTTGTAGCAAGATGAGAAACATTTATTGGTGGTAGGTAGTTGCACTGTGCCTCAGGGCATGCGTTTCTTCTCTTTCTTTGGGATTAAAGGTTGATTTTATATTTATTTTGTCATTTCGTGCTCTACATGATGGAAGACTGCAGGAAAGACTGAATTAGAAATGCTCTAATATTTAATAGCCCTCTTCACCAAATATTAAGTTATATGATGAAGACAAATCAAAACCTGACAGTATTTTCCATAGATTGTATTTTGAAATTATGGCATATGCCATGTTTTACGATAACTCACACATTTTTTTTACTTTCATAGGAGAATATTTCGTATCAAATAAACTTAAGCTTATTCAATAAAGGATGGCAAGAAATGATTGTCACTACTGCCAATCATATGCATTTGTTATTATATTAGGAATACCAGAGGATGATTTTTTTGTGACGACCAGTCCTAGGAATTGCAGTGACTGTAGTGCTGAGCAGAGTCATGATTTCTGAGGAAATGACACTAGTTTACTTTGTAAAAGGTTTTATTCAGGTATTTATTACGACAAATTTTTGAGTGGCTTCTCAAGTTGGCACGTAACACAACACGAATAAAGTAACAGGTTCTTGGTATGAAGCGCAGATCTAGCAGAACAGCCTGGACAGTGACAGTGGTTGTTCCTGGTGGACTGGAAGATCCCCATTCCATGTTCTTGGCACAGGAGGCTGCAGCTGATGATTTACCAAACAGTTTCTGGAGGTTGTGCTGTTTTTGTTTTTCATGTGTCATCATGATCCCCCTTAAAGTTTTTGCTAGAAGTAGTGTTTTCGCTAGAGCAACAGATGCTGTTTGGTACAGTTGGGAAAGCATGGCCCTTTGCAGCCACACTGCTCAGCCAGAGCAGCTGTCTCTGCCAGGCCCTGGGAGCTGCCAGTGTGTTGCCAGCCGTGTCTGGGTGTTGGCGTGTCTGACCCTGCTGTTCCTCTGCACTGAGTAGACAATGCCCAAGGTCATGAGTCCTTGCTCTTGTGATTTGTGTGGCTGCTTCCATAGTCTAAATGTAGTTTGGATACCTGGAGCTTGATAAGCTTGTGACAAGAACTGACCCTCCCTGAAACTGAGCCAGGAAGGAGTGGGACGTACAAATTTATAGGTAGGATGGGATTTACACTAGCCTAGTAGAAAACAGGTCTGCTCAAGCCTCTGCTGTTTCTAGTAAACTTGTGTGTATGCATTTACATATATACATATATAATAATTTATAAAATATATATGATGACACATTGGTGTCAAGCAAGAAATACTGAAGGATATTCCTGCATCAAATTGCTCTTAACACAAATTGCTCTTAGCATCTAGCACAATGCAAGCTTGGTGTTGTGCAGTTCCATTGAGGGCTGGAGAGAGGCTGGTAAACTGTGCACCAAGTTTCTTCCTTTTGAGAGAGTGCAAAGGAATATGAGCTGAAAAATGTGTCCCTTCATGGGACCCAAATCTTCATTGCAGTGAAGGATCACATTAGCACAAGCTCTTCTTTGGAGAACTCCAAAAATCCCTCCAGCTCTGACAGCTGTGTAGTAAAGGGGTACATCCAGTGGGGTGTACTGAGAGGGCAGAACCTGCTGCTCTTGCTGGAAAGTCAGCCACTCCTTCCCCGTGAAATGCATGGATGTGCAATGCATGTCAGTGAGAAACTGAGAATGGGGCTATGTATGTACAAAAGTAAAAGCCATTATTGCATCCGTATACACAGCTTTGGCATGAGAGAAATTAATTCCCTTTCCTATTCCCAGGCTCCTCTGTCAGACGTGGGGCCTGGCTGTATGTGAGGCACCTGAGAGCAGAGAGGGGAAGATGCCTAAGGAAAATCTAGGTCTCATGGGTTTTCTCATGACAGGTTTTCCTGTCCCAGTCCCAACTGCTGGACTCTCCCGAGCTCTGAGGACAGACTGTTGATGTACACAGTATTTCCCTCATATCTTTTTGACCTTTGTCAAAGCTCAGATAAGAGCTTATGGCAAATGTAGCTTGGACTGGGTGGTGTCCTCAGTAACACACAAACATCACATCACCATGAATACAGAAAAGCCAAGTATGCTGATGATGAGTGTCTAGGAGAAGTGGGCTGGAAGGCACATTAGAATTACTGTATTCAGCTGTACTGTAACTCAACTTTATATTTTGCTGTTCTGCAGTCATGTTCTGTTTTACATGTCTGTGTTTTACATGTCCCCACTGCCCATTTGCCAATTTTCCCACAAATGCTCTTTTCAACATGGAGTGTGGCCTGTAAGGGTTTTAATAGAATTCCATTCCTTCATTCTCCTGAAGACGTACTCTGAACAGTCCAGAAGTAACTGTCAACCAGTAGCAAATGGGCATGAGGGCTCTAAGCAGTCTCTGATGCTTCTCTAATTTATATTATTTTAAAATAAGCAAAAATTACATAACTATAAGTACGTAATCTCTCTCTCTTTCTACTGTTACATTTCTTGAATCTTGTTATATTTATATTTGTTCATTTGTATGAAAAGTATATTGTTATGTATTAATGAAATTGCCTTTTTTGTAATCCACAATGTCTGTAAGAGAAAACAAAGGAACTTCAGAATTGCGGTGGACCATCTAAGCACCACTGAAGTACTTTTAATAATGAGGACAAAAATTCCACCTAAGGTATTCTAAGGTATTTTCAAAAATGAAGAGAACAAAGGAATTGTTTCCTTTAGGGTTACCTGTTACTTATTTCTCTGTGGGGCTGCGTGCTCTTTATTGTCATGTTACAAGTTTTTGCCAAGTCGCACAAATTATTATTTACAGTGGTTATACAGCATTTGCAATTATGTATTCTTCTTGTCACTATGCATGCTGAAGTGCAGAACTGTCGATTAGGTACCATCATCCTCCTGCTGTAATTTAGTTTTTCTTCTTCCTCTTGACTTTACAAAAGCAAGCAAACAAGCAGGAGATACCTAGGAAACTATGCCAGTTGCTTCAAATTTTAGAAACAGATGAATCTGCCTCCTATTTTTACCATATACATTTATTCTTTCCCCGCTTTGCAGGGAAGCGTCACAGGATGCTATCACTGGGCTTGGTTTCCTGTAACTTCTTTCTCAAAATGACCATTTGTTACTTACATGTCTTCAGAACCCAGTGTTCATCCTGGTTCAGTGTGTTTCTGAAGAGTGCAGCAATATACAGTGTGTCTCCATGTGTATTATCCTCACAAAAGCACAGTGCTTTTCATGCTTTGGTCTGCTTTTGGTTTCATTTTCTAGCAGTCAGCATACCTGATTTTTCACAAGAAAATTTTAGTTGTGAGTAATTTGTACAAGGACTCTAAATCTTTGAAAATATGATAAATTGAAATTAGTGTTGCTTGATGAAATCTTGACTACAACTTGAAATACATAGTTCCCATCATGTTCAAGGAGAGCAGATTTTAATTCTTGTGTTGTTGGTTTTGACAGGCTTTTTATGTCTGTATTTTGAAATGATCCTATCTCCGTGTCTTTTGCAACAACAAACATCTTTAAGTTTTCACATCACATCCTGGACCTAGAATTTCTTTCTTTGCTTTTGTAAGCACTCAGATTCTTATAGTGTGTGACAGGCCATTCAGCTGGCTTTTTTCTCTCCCACTCTCCTTTCACAGACTCTTACAGACAGCCCAGGGTTTTACCAGCCTTTCTGGTGCAAATATCTGATAGAATGCCAGGAGTGCTGCTGTGGCCACTGTGGCTGTGGTTGCTGCCTTCCCTGTTTCCAAACCATTAGTGCTGGTGCAGGTGGAGACTGCTTCTGTCTTTACTGGGGTGCAAACATCAAGTGTACACATAGCCTTAAGGGGAGGTAGGTGCCAGAGATAAAGCCTGTGCTTTCTTACCCCTTTTTAGATACCAGTGTAATTAAGATGCAAATCCTTTTGTGAATTCATTAACTCACCATAGCTAGGAACCTTATGTGGCCCCAAATGCAAAACAGGAATAATGCTGCAAACTTTCATGGAGTTGCTTTGGTTCACCCTGGAAGAGAATACTTACCTCTCATCTTTCTTTCTAGTCTTGGAGGAGATGGGAGTAGAAGAGATCCAGCTCTTTCTTTCTACAGCTTGTGTTGTTGATGAACAGCTTTCCCCATGTGCTGGTTCCTGTGGTAATGAGGAGATGCAAGCTCCAATCCATCAAACCCAGTCTCTCTGTCCTGTTTCATCCCTGCTACTTTGTTTCATATTCTCCACTTGTGTTGTCCAGCTGAATTGTTCATGTGCTCCATGAAAATGACATGATTGTGGCTAATTGGCTCTTTACTCTCTTGCTTCTCCAGAATTCTGTAAGGCATATGTCTGCCTTAAGGCTTGTGAGGGAGGCAGAATGAAGAACTAAAGGAAGGAAGATTATCTTTTCTGAGGAAGTAGAACTGTTTCCATTTTGGGTCAAATCTGAAAGAGTGTTACAGTTTTGAGTGTGTTCGAATTTAAGGATGGCTGTGGGTCATTCCAAGCTGTATGTGTCAGGTACTTAGATACAATTCTATACAGATTTTGATTGACAGTAAGAGTGTTATATACACCATCCCCTTTAATCCATC